CAGTCCTTGTCAGTAGTTGGCGCTGTTAGCCCTTTTTTTGCTATTCTTCTGCATGTGTTACAGTATCTCATTGTGTTTTTCAGTTACTGTTTCTCAGTCATGTACTATTGCTAACAATGTTAAGTGCATCAAGTATTTTAATATTTATGCTTTAGAGTTCTGGGTAAGATGATGTTCTAGAGCAGTGGTTCTCAACCTGTGGGTTGCAACCTCTTGGCAACCCTCTGGCTCCAAAAAAAATTCCATAATGATTCATAACAGCAAAATTACAGTTGTGAAGTAGCAATGAAAATAATTTTCTGGTCGGGAATCATCACAACATGAGGAACTGTATTAAAAGGTCATAGCATTAGGATGGTCGAGAACTGCTGTTTTAGTATAAGGTGGTAAAGGAGAAAGTCAGGCTTTACACACACACACACACACACACACGTGCGCGCGCACACACACTTTTTCTCAAAGAGAGAGATGGAAGAAGAGCTTTAGAAATTCATGAAGTGAAGGGATACCAAAAAAGCAGAGAGAGAAAAAGACAGAAATGAACAGAAATAAGTGAACTCTTGGCAAGAGTTCCCTGGTAGGGAGAAGGAGCAAATGCTTCGGGAAGAGAAGCTCTTGAAAGTCGTGTAGTCTTGCTCTCAGGAGCAGCCATGTTCTCTTACAAGTCTTGTGGGTTTTAGTGACAGTGATTTCTCTGATGAGCAGGTCAGTTGTGGAAATAAATCTCATTTGTTTTCCACTAAATGACTCAGAAGCCAGCGGTGGGGGCCATCTTGGGAGAGAATCCACTGTTAATTTTGAACTATCTTGCCAGTCTGAGATCAGGGAACAGGCACAGGTCGGGAGCCTCACTCTGCCCTGTCACAGTGTTTGGGGGACGGAAGGCACAGAGAGGCGGTTGTGGGGAACAAGGTCTCGACACTGACAACATGCAGGTGCCAAAGAAAACGCATAGGAAGACATGTGCCCACCTTTAGTGTACTTAATTTTTGTTTCTTATTTTCTTATTTTTATTCATACATTAATACATTTGATTTGTGTTTCTTCCTTTCCCTTTTACTTAGTGGTATTTGTCTTTATTTAATTTTAATGCTCCTATGTTTTTAAATCTGGATCTCTCTTCTTACATTTGTCTACTTTTGTTTTTGAACTTTTCCATTACTGGTGCCTGGTGCACGCAGAGGCCATAAGAGGGACGTGGATCCCCCAGAACTGGAGTTACAGACAGTTGCGAGCTGCCCTGTGGGAACTGAACCTGGGTCCTCTGGGAGAGCAGTCAGTTTCTTAACCTCTGGTCGTCTCTAGAGCACCCAGGAAATCTGTTTTCTACTTAATCTCAGTTTTATTTTTCTGACCGCTTTCTCTGTCCTTTCTGTCCACAACTTTCTTTCCACTTCTCTTCTTATGGTTGCTTAGCTTCTTCTCATCCAGTTTTCCCTGTCATTCCCTGCTTTCATCTCTTTTATTTACTCTTAATACTTAACCTAAATACATTTTCAGCTCCACAGCACATTGGACAGTAGTGCATTTTCAGTTTCATAGTCATTGCTGAAGTATCTATGGTAGGTGACTAATCTTAAGTACATTTCTACATCTTACGTGATTTGGTATGTTGCTTTTTACTCGCTGAGTAGTACTGGGTGTGAACTTTCAAATGTGGACTGTGTAGTGAGATGATCTCTACTCCCCCTTAACACACACACACACACACACACACACACACACACACACACACACACACACACACCTCATAGATGTTTTAAATTATGATACAGAAATTCAAGAAACAGGAAAACAAAACAAAACAAAATATGAAAGACCACCCCCCAAAAAACCCCCAAGAAAGCAGCAGGAATCTTCCAAAAGATCCTTCTTCCTTAAATACTAAACACAAAAATGCTAAAGTAGGTAAAATCATATGATGATTTCAAAGAGACGCACAAACAAGCAGATATATTCAAACCTTGAGAGGAAAGTTTGCAACCTATAGGAAAAGATGAGCATAAAAGGTGAGAAAATAAGCAACAGGGTTGAGAAAAATTGACATCATAGAAGAAAAATCAGCCAGGAAACTGGAATTTCAAAAATGAATAGCAATATTAGAAATAGAAAATTCATGGAAGGGCTTGGAGATGGCTCTGCAGATGAAGACACTTGCCACCAAAAAAGATCAGCTGTGTTCAGCCCCTGGCACTTGCAGTGGAAGGAGTGACTTGCAAATAGTTTGCTGACCTCCACAGGCGCACAAGGGCGTGCTTGCTGCCCCAACTTCCCTACACCTCTATGTGCAATATATAAAGTCAAAATTAAAAAATGAAATCAAGTAAACATGGTGAGATGCATGATCAGTACAATTAGCCAAGTAGAGGAAAGAGTATTGAGGATGGAGCACAAGGCTGATGAAATGCTGCGTTCAGACACCAATGGGGAAAAAATTTACAAAACCACAGGGTGCAAGAACTCTGGATATGATCAACACACCAAACCTAAGAATTCACAGGAGAGAAGAAGGGGCTGAGATAACTACCAAAAGTGTAGGTAAAGCATTCCTCCAAACCTAGAAAAAGAAACAGACATTCAAACACAGAAGGCATTTAGAACTCCAAACAGACGAGAGTAGCAAAGAACCTCCCCATGGCATATTTATAGTCAAGATGTCAAAAACTCAAAGCAATGAAACAATATGAAGTTATGTAAGGGAATATGCCAACCCACAAAGGCAGAAACATCAGAATACATCATCTCATTCATCAACAACCCTCAAAGCTTTGGTATCATGGAATGATATATTTCAATCCCTGAAAGTAACTGGAAATAGAGAATGCTATACCAAACAAAGCTATCTTTTAAAATGGATGGGTAAATAAGGACATTTCAACACACATGTAAATGAAGGCAGTCCATGATCCCTAAGCCATCATTGTAGAAGATGCTAAAGGAGTACAGAGAAGAAAAAAGATCCCAAATAACCTCAATTGTGAGACTAGAGAACAGACTGCAAGAGAAGAAAAATGTCACAAATGAAAGCTAGGAAGGGACTAATTATGTCTAACACAATTAGCTTGTAAACCCCTGACACTAATATGAGAGGGTGTGAAGGACAAACAATAATCCAATGAACCAGAAAGAGAAAACAATTACAGAATCCATACATATCTCTCAATAATAACTTTAAGTATACATATGCAGATATCTGCAGACTAACTGATTGGTGTACAACAACAATTAAATCCAACTGTGTCACCTCCAAGAACCACACTTCATTAGCAAAGACACCCATAGACTGACTGTCAAATTATCAAGGGCCCAAGGGAGCAGAAACTGAGTTGGTTGTATCCATTCAAATACTGACAAAGTAAATGTTAAATCAGTAGTTGCCAGAAAAGATAAAATCATTCCATATTAAAAAAGGAACAATTCCTTAAGGAAAATATAACAGTTATAAGTATATGTGCACCAAACATTGAGGCTTCTAATTTCTCTTGTAAAATGTACACTTATAAACATAAGAGGACACTAATAGATAACCATAGTAGGTGATTTCTCTATCCCACTCTTATGTCTATTAAATGAAACCTCAGCATTAAACTACATCCTAGATCAAATGGACTTAGATACATACAGAGCATTCCATCCAGTAGTAACAGAATGCATATTCTTCTTAGCATCCCAAAGAGCCTTCTATAAATTAGATCAGTCTTAGGCACAAATCAGGTCTCACTCAAATGCAAAATAATTAAAATAACCCCTTGTATTTTTATCAGATCATGGTGGCATAAAATTAGAAATCAATAGCAAGAGAAATCACAGAAACTACAAAGTACACAGGTACTAAATAGCACACTCTTGAATTAGATAAATTAGTATGGAAATTATTAATTTCTTATAGTCAAATGAAAATGAAAACACAACTTTTGAGATTCAGCTAAAGAGATTCTAAGAGGAAAGTTCATAGCTGTGAGTGCATCCAATAAAAACCAGAAAGATTTCAAGTCAATTACCTAATGATGTATCTCAAGGGCCTATTGAGAGAAGACCAATCCAAATCTCAAAACAGCATATTGCAAGAAATAATAATGGTCAGAGTAGACACTTGAAAAAGAGCCCAAAGGAACAATACATTCAGTTCTTTCAAACAAAGAGTTGTTTCTTTAAAACAAAATAAAGATAATTGACAAACTCCTAGCTATGCTATTCAGAACAAAGAGAATAGATCCAAATTAATAAAATTAGAGATGAAAAAAAGGGGGAGAGAGAGAGTTTACTACAGATGATGCTGAAATACAGAGAATCGTGAGGGAGTGCTTTGCAGACTTACCTTCTAAAAAAACTGAAAATGTAGATGAAGAAATGGATAGTATAAGTTACAAATGCAATTTTCCTAGACACACGTGACCTACCAAAATGAAATTAAGAAGATGTAAACAACTTAAACAGATCCATAGCAACCAGCAAGGCTGAAACAATGATAAAATTTCTCCCCAAGTTCAGGACTAAGTGGGCTCACTGCCAAGTACCATGAAACCTTTAAACACGAGCAAACACTGCCGCTCTTCAAACTGCTCCATTAAATTAAAAGGGTGCTGCAGTGTCGAAACCTTACTCTGAGGCCAGCATTGCCCCATACAGAAAAAAATCTGTAAGGACACAAGGAAAAAGAATATTACAGATCTATTTCCTCAGTGAACATAAATACAAAACTTTTCAACGGAATTCCTGCAAACCAAATTCAAGAATACACCAAGAAGATGATACACCATGGCCAAGTGGGTTTCATTCTAAGGATGGAGAGTTAACTCAAAATATGCAAATCAGTAAGTATTATTCCACACACAGTTACATTTAGGGCAGAAACAACACAATTGATAGAGAAAGGGACTTCGACTAAGAGAAACATTCCTTTGTGAAAATTGTCCTGAAGATTAGCAATAGAGGAACATATCTCAACAAATACTGTGTATGAAAAAGCAGTAGCCAACAGCTTTGTTTGTTCATTATAGGCAAAAACTGGATACGACCCAAAAAGCAATCAACATATATCAGACAAGCTCCTGTTCACATAGGCAGAAACATACAGCAATGAGGTAAGGATGATGTGCAACAAAATGCGTGAATATTTTTGCTTGCTTAATTATTTTATGCATATGAGTGTTTTGCCTGCATTTATGCAAGTTATGCACTTGCCTGGTGCCCACAAAGGTCAGAATATGTTCTCAAATCCCCTGGAACTGGAGTTGTGGATGAGTGTAAATTACCGTGTGAGTACTTGGAAGTGAGCTGGTCCTCTGCAGAGCAGCAAGTGCTCTTAACTGCTAAGACATCTGTCTAGCCCCAAGTTGCTTGAATCTTAAAAAAAAAAAAAAAAAAAAAAAAATCATTCCTAGAACATCTAAACAGGGGGCAAAAAAGTATGTGTTAGATGATTCAATTCATTAAGTATGAAACAATGCTAATGTATGATTTAAAAAAAACAAATGTTTACGTGGAATTGGGAAAATTATTTGATTGGAAAAGAGTCTGCAGAAATATGTGTGATAGTGAATATGTTTCCTACATTGTGTGTGAGACACACAATGGGTAGGGTAACTGTCAAAATTCTGTGCGATTTATTATGTACTAATTTTTAAGATATCATGTGCTTTCCATTTGTCTGATACCTTAGTTCTGTCCAGTTTTTATTTTTGCAGTTTGAATATTCTTGATAGAGATTTATGCATTTAAGATTTCCTTTCCTTCTCCAGATGACTGTGTTGTCCACTAATGATTATTACTTTTCTTCTTTTCTTGGGGAGGGAGTAGACAGGGATAGTGAGTCCTCTCAGCCTCATGGCCCTGGTTTCAGTTTTATTTTAGTTTTGTCTCAAATCCCTAATCTTGGTCTGTGAATAAAGTCATAGTCCAAAGTTGTAAGATGTGGCCTTTTGGGGTCTCAGCTGCACGACGGATGTTGCACTGTGATGTTTTTGCTCCTTGGCAGGTCGAGAACACTGTCATTTCAGGCAACTGCCTCACCAGAGTCTCCATTCCACCCTACTCCCCAGAAGCAGCTGTATTGAGGACAACATGGCGTTTATTTTTCATGCTCACAACTCAGCTCTCAGCCATGGACCAGATGCAACCCTCACATGGACTTCTGCGACCTTTGATTCCAGCTTTCCCCTCTCTTTTCCTCTCTGTTCTGCTACACACACCTAGCTGTCTCCGCAGACCTGAACTAGCCACTTAGGTCTCAGCTCTCTACCACCCAGTGCTTGCCCTAACCTTTATGTGCACAGCCAAGACATCTTGCAGGGTAGCAGGGCAGCAGTCTGAGTCAGTTTTGTACTGTTGTCCATTTTCTGAGAAAAGTTGCTGTATATGCTTTGTGTTTCTAGAGGGTTTTATTTAATGTAAATCCACATCAGCTGTATTTACATTATCACGATCAGAAAGAGAAGTTTCCCTGGCATTGAAAGGTAACGTGCAAAGTTTATTTACTCCCCCCAAAAAATGTGATTCCACTCTAAAGATGTGCTTGTGTTTCGAGGAGGCAGCCATGCGTTGACTGTGGTTAAGTTTCAGTTAGATGTCAAGATGGATGTTACTATGAACTGATGTACTTGACACTGTAACTCTGTCACTCCGTATCAAAGATGAAGCAAATTTATCTGCTAATAGCAGTCATCAGACTGGGGATCTTATAAAGAGGTCAGGTTATTTTACTGCTCGGTATGGCTAGCTACACATCAGGAAACATAAGCAAGGGAACAGATGCCCGGTATTAGAGAAGGAGGGCAATCAGAAAACCTAAATGCTGGTGAGTGAGATTTACCTTAGTGACATTTAGCGATGCCAGGAGATGATTTTGATGATCTCAGTTGGCAGGTGGGTGCTGTTAACATGTAGTTGTAATAGCACAGAATAGCCTCCACCACCAAAAATAATTTGGTTCAAATTGTCAGTAGGGCCAAGGCTAAGAAATCTTGCTGTGTTCCCAGACTTGGATTCAGATTCTCGGTTGTGCTCTCTATTGTCTAGGTTATCTTGAGAAAATTGTTGAAGTAGGACTTGCACTTCCATATGGTGAGGGTTAGTGATAGATAGTAAAAACAATGCTAGAAAAATAATACGCCTTTCATAGTTAACTGCTACTGTTTCTTTGTGTCATATTAGTCTTATGTTTAGGTGACAGGCTCCTCAATGTTCAGTTTGTAGTTGTTTTACCTTTGGGAAGGAAGAGGAAAATTTAGTGCAAAAGATATGAGTTTGCATTTAAGAGGTTTCCACTGTTCTCTTGGCTTAAAAAACAAAAACAACAACAACAAAAAGCCCAAAGTAACAGAAATACAGAAAAGGAGGGGAGGTAAAGTGGAGGGAGGAGGAGGAACAGAAAGTATGTGGGAGAGAGAGAATCTTCTACACTTAAAGACTTCTCCTAGACAAAGGACAACTGAGAATCTTGCTTTAGTTCAGTCTGTATAACATGATCAACTATAGTATCAAATAGGAGCTTCTTACAGAAATGGGCATAGTGTCTTAAGGTTGAGCTCTGATGGTCACCGCTGAATGCTATACCCGAATAAGGAGGTCTTTTCCTTCCTTGGTGTTCACACAGTGTCTGCTGTTCCTGGACCTGGCTAGCAGGTAAATTAAAAGCATCTGGTGACAGAGGCAGGGTTCACTGCGGTATAATAGGAAGATGGAGTTCCAAGTTACAGAAGTCCTGTAGAGGAAGGTGAAGGGCATCCAGCAGAAACACCCATACTCTTAGCAAATTTTGAATTATCCTCAAGATGATTTGTACCATTTCCTCGCTTTGCTCATTTCTATAAAGAAATCTTTAGTAAACCTATCCCAGTCATGCTTCAGGCACGTTATGCATCTGGAGAAAACTATAGATAAGATAACCATTGTATCTTTAGGAATTGGTGGTTTATCTATTTCAATGACCAATGGTTTTTTTAAAAAACGAAAAGTTGCTTCTTCTCTTGAAAAATCACAGAGGAAGAAAAACAAAACCTATAAATTACTTGCCGATCAAATTAAATCATTCAGATATTATGAGTGCTACCAATTATACGCTGGCCTCTTTGACAACCCTGGGCTTGGCCTGCCATTTACAATCAATGGTTTCGGGATAGGGAGGCGACTCCCTCGCCATCACTAATGACCTCCGTGTCAGCACAGTCTCCTAAATACATTGTGGCTTCCTTGCAGCAGAATGCTGTCTCTGAGCAGAAGGCCCATCTTTTGTCATCCATTTCTAAAATCAGTTCTATTCATTTAAATACCCACAAAACATATAATTTCCTGTGTGGTCTCTAGTAAATACAAATTACAGATTGATTTAAAAATAGCAGGCCTCAAATTCAATAATAAATTTTTATAAGTGATTATTTGAAATTTCATTAGTCAAGACTTAATTGCTGTAAGTTCTATATGAGTCCATTGCATAACTTCTAAACATATGCAATTATATGTAAATTTTAATGACTAATAAGAACGGTCTTATTAATTTTAAATTAAATGTACCTGTACTTTTGAAAATAAACTTCAAGTGCCACTACAAATAACTCTAGAAGTGACTTCAATCTTACATATACCTTAGGATGTTTGCTACTGTGAATCTCTTTTTTTTTTTTTTCAGGAAGAATACAGATGGCTGATAGAGTGAATGTTTTGTGTGGTCCGTATATGTTAGGCCATTGGGCACACTCTGCGTGGATTCTTTAACTGGCCTGGAGTGGGAGAAGCAGGCCGAGTGTTAAGTCTAACATGATGTGAACAGCAGATTTGGAGAGGCTGCGTGCTGAACTCGGACTCACTCCCTTGGGTTGATGAGAGGATTTAAATTTGAGGGCCGCTGTTTAACTTTGTTGTTGGACATTATTACTTATTTATAACTAATTTACAGTTTATTGGTCACCAAAGCCTGAAATATTCTTGTTGAATACATTACCGAGAGACCTTGGCTTTTTCAATAATAGCAAACTGGAGGAAAGGAATGAAAGCTGAATGCTTTTGTTCTTTAGAAACTGGTGTGTGTCAGCGGGCCCGTACTGGACTGCAAGAGCCAGCTGGGAAGTATTAAGCAGTACACCACCGAGTGCAGCGATCACCAACAGTGAAAGTTCAGGATGTGTGCTGGGAAAGCAGGTTTCTGATGTCCTCCATCTGCGTTAAGTGGTCATAACATTTCTTGATTATTCAAGTGTTGCCGAGGGTTTAACCCTTGGCAGACATTAAAAATGTCTTCGTACTTTGATATTGGGTCCAATCACAAGCCAATCTTAACTACATGCCCCACGGAAACTGAACAGAACAGAATCCATTTCTACAAAATGATTTCACTTTTGTAGGCTCACCTTAATTTTACTCGTGATTCACTGTCATTAGTACCACACACTCATGTCTAGGAAGAGCGCCCTCTGGGCAGGTAATAGTGGCACAAACCAACACATTTTTAATGGTATTACATATTTTAATGTGTAATATTTAACGGCACTGTAGAGAAGGACACACACACACACACTACACATTACACACCCAGGTACACACACCCATACACCCATACACACGCACATACATTATACTGATTCTAAAACAAGATGTCTCTAGCCTTGAGCAGCACGGGAACGTCTTTGGACCACCCCACTTGCTCTTCCTCCCTCTCCCGTTTCCCCTTTCTTCCACCTCCATTTTCTTTTTCCTCTTTTTTTTTCTCCCCAGTTTTCGTCCAGTAACATAAACACCATCTTAGTGGGGAGAAATGAGTATGCTGTGGTGGGCTGGTATCAGTCTACAAAACCACTGAGGAGGTTTGAGTGCCTCTTAATTTTGTCATCTAGCACAGCACACTCTTGAAACAAGTAACATGTTTCTATGATAACTGCCTCAAGTTAAGAGCATGCATTGCCTCTAAGTGTAATAACTGATTTTCAAATGAATGCCCGACATACGGTCCATGATGTAGACAGAGGGCTCATTGACTAGGAGAGTTGTCATGCACAGTTTCTGTAGAAAGGCAGCCTTTTTGGGTTAATGTGCTTAAGTTTCTGTGCTAAAATATTCAGCTATTGAGAGCAGCCTTTATTGTACAAAACTGTATTTTCCTAGTACTTCTATGTGCAGTACTTGAGGAAAGCCTTATCTTGGACCCATGGTTTGGAAAGATTCTTCCTTGAAATAAGCACGATTAAAACCTGAGATACTGATTGTCTTAGATTGATCTCTGCTACAGCACATTAGCTGGAGTTGACCGTCCAAACTGTGTTGTAAGAACAACTACTGTTTCACAGACAATCTGCTTTTCCAAACAGATACAGCTCTGAATCCAAGCCAAGGAACATGACAGCTTATCTCTTCAATAAAATGAGAATTCCTGAGGGTCTAGAATTCCAGGTTGTCAGTGCTTGGGGGCTTAATTCTTACAGCAGATTGCTGTTTTCTCTGTAAACTATTACTTTGACTTTCCAACAACATAAAGCTTCATCCTTGTTCTTCAATGGCTTTGGTGGCCAAAGACAATTTTTCAACAATTTCAGTTCTTTGATGAGCAATGTTATTGCTTATATTTTGTCATAGTGATTGATGGTCAAGTCCATTTAGAATAATTTCCCTTGATGAGTTTATCCTCTTGGAAGCTTGTCCCATACATTGGAATCATTCTTAATGAGAAATATGCCTTATGTTCACTAAGAACCCAGCCCTTATCTTTGAATAATATCCTATTTTTTCCTTCCATGTTTTCTATAAAGATGCAAAACATCTGCCTACTGATTTTTCTGTAGTGTAGACTTCCATGGTGACAGTTTAGCTGTCCACTAGCCTTTCCCTTTTTAGCCTTATATATTTTTATCTTTTGAAGAGTAAACAGTTATCTTAGCACTTTATAGAATGCTATGTTTTCCATTCCAGTGTTTTAATTATTACCCAACATGGAGATAAAGTTTTCAAAGTACTCTGATGTATACAATTGTGTTTCCTTTTACAGAAGGCTTGGGAATCATTTGGTAAGCTTCATATTGTTATTGATTTTATTTGCATAGTGGAAAATATTATCCTCAAAGTTATACACTCAATGGTATACAAACTAGAACTGAAGACCACTCTCTTACCTGTTATTTTCTTAACCCCTCAGACTTCTTTGCATACATTTTGAGATAAAATGCTCTTTTGTATTCAATATATAAAGTTCATAAATTTAGGCAGTCTCAACACATATTTGCTAAACATTGAACAAGCAATGGATCTTGGCCTCCTACACAGTTAAAAATGGGAAAGCACTCTGAAAACACTCATGGCAGTAGGAGAGTAGACTTGGAACTACAAAGTGTGAAAAGCTTTGGGGAGGCACTAACTGTGAGGGTGTTTTGATGGCAGTGTTGACCAGCCTATTGATTGGTGTGACTGGACTAGTTTAGTGGGCTAGCTGGGCAACAATCTTTCCCCTTCTCCTCTCTGCTCCAGTCAGAGCCTTCAGAGTCTTCTCACAAATGACAAACCTTCTAACTGGGACAGGACTACTCATAAGACAGAAGTATATCAATTTTCATAAAAAGTATTGTAGGGGCAGCTCAAGGAATGTCGCTTGGACAAATCTTTGAAGCAGGAGCACCATGTTGACAGTGAAAGATGAAGTCAGGTGTAACAGTCCCCTACATTACAAGGAGCAGCAGAGGCTCAATGGAAAGATCCACAGCGTTTCAGAAGGTGGAACTGTTAGAGCGGTAGGAATGGTTGCAACATCTTTTTCTTAAGAAGTGAGCTAAGAATGCGTTAATGTTGACGGAACTTGGGGATCATTCGTAGTCAAGAATTTAACTTGTGGAATTAGCAGCCACAGAGTGTTTACAGGGTGGCAACAAAGGCTGAAAATGTTAATGGGAAAAAGTAAAAGAAAATTTGGGAGAAGAGATGAGAGCAATGTTGGAGCTAGAAAGTTGCTAAAACATAAGGAGGAAATAGTCACATGACATGTAGTTGGTATTTGCAGAGTCACCTGTGTGTGTCCACTACCTAACATGGACCAAGTTCTATGATAAATCAGGACCTTAGTTAGTCCTCCAGGAACTAAAGTGAACTACAAACCTTAGGCTACTCCTTAAAGTATAGTGAATTTTAGCGCCATGAACAACACAAGTATTATTTCAGAGGAGAGAACATCAAATTTAGTGTGGAACAAGACCATTCTTGTTTTGTTCTTGTCTTCGACTGTGAGTGCTCAGAGAAAGCCACCACACCCTTGCTGAGAGCTGTGCATTGCAGTATAAGCGATGTCAGGTTAAGGAATGCTATACTGGTATTTACATGTACATGGGTTCACTTTCCCTTGTGAATGTGAGTGGGCCTTAGACTCTATTTGGTGTGGGGACATTCCATGCTCTTGAAACTATGTTCCTCAGGAAGCGATTTTAATTAGCAGGAAAAACATCTGTTTAAATCTGGATCTGCTAATAATCACTGTATAACAAACACAGCTCCACAATCCTGCCTTTTATTTCCCTGGGGCTTAGGCTTTCCTTGTGGTTAGTCATGTGCAAAACAGAAGGAAACCTCCACTGTCAATTTCTGCTGATTTCCATCTGCTGTGAAAGGCAACCTCTGATCTCTCCCGTGCTGGGGAGTTCTGTTGGGTTCTTGTTGCCATTTTACCAAGAATCTGCAGTCACTTTATCCTGCGCCTCTCACCCAGTTCTGAAGGAGAGGCAGCACTCGAGAACAGGAGACCAGATGATCTCAGGATGCAAGAATCCTTCAGATGTTTGCCGAGAGCCATTGAAGGATGCTTCAGCTTGACAAAAGCAGGAAATGTTAATTTTCAGCTCGTTTATAAATAGAGGGATGATCTGTGAAGAGAAAACTGTTGTCACAGCAAATGTACACTTGAGTGATTCAAACCTAATTAGTGGTTATATGATTCACTTTGAATATATTTACTGTAACAACTGGTAAACTGCTTTTCAAATTCAGCTGTTGAATAGATGGCATTTCCCCCCCTCCTTTTTCTTTTCTGAAAGCAGCAAAAACAACTCTGGAATTTTATTTTCAGGTTTTCCTCAACCAAACCAAAACCTTCCTTACCCCCCTGTCCCCCGTGGATGTGACATAGGTGACCACAGGTAGCTTCCTGTTCTTCTTCTGTCCCGAATTCACCTTTCCTGGAACATTTCCAACATGTTTAATTGAAGAAAACACAATAGCATCATTTGCTTGTTCTGGGCAGTGTTGAGGACATAAATATTAAGCAGCTTAAGTTTGGATTAACAATAGATTTATATTTTTGCTTTATTTTAAATTTTATGTGAGTATATTTTGCACACTGAGTACCCCCACATCCCTTTTTTTCTATCCGTCCCCTTCCCTTCTTATTAACCCCTTGGTTCCCCAGATAGTTTTTCTGTACTTTTGTGTAGTACATACATCCATGACTTTTTTGTGACAATGTAAAAATGGAGGAATTATTTAATTAGGAATTCCCTAATGCCCCACTAAAGAAAATATTCAAGGCAATGGAGGTATTCTTTGCCATATCTTGTTTTGCCATGTACAAGGTTTGAATGTCCAAGAAAAG